GTGAATGGCTCATGCCGCGCTAAAATATATTTGTAACTACATGTTTGTATATACATATACATACATATATTAATATCCATATGCATATGTGAGTATGCAAGTATGTCTGCGAAGGAGGAAATGAATCTGAAATTGATACAAATGTTATCTACTGCCAACTCACACACACGTTTAAACACATACATACGTATATATATAGTTATATGTATATGTTTCTGTATATTGCCACTTGCCCGCAGGGTGTTCAATAAACCTTGTATTGCTTCTTTTTGTATAAGTACATGTACATGCAAGTTGCATCATATAAATACAAACATATATGCAACTACCTCAAATCTGTGTTGAAAACTCATATGTTAATTTTTTTTTGCTGAAATATGGTCGTCAATTTGGACATATTTTCATAGCTTATGGTCATATTCAAAATTTGATATCCAATTGAAATTGCCATCAAAAATGTGAAAATTCGCAATAAGATTTTCAGAATATCAAATAATCCCATTATTTTTCTGTTTCTATAATATTTTGATATCACTCAATAGTAGTCATGGTTTTTTGCTTAGCATATGTTTTTATGATACTCTCTTGCTCTCTCAAAAGCGTATGAGTGGATAGTGTTGCGTAATGTATTTTGGATCTTAGAACAGTGTTTACAACTACATTGATTAATAGTAAGAAGAATCTTAAAGGCCTGTTGTTTTACAAGAATAGATGAAAATCGCTGCAAGAGCCAGGGGTTATCCCAAAAATCGAGTTTGAGAAGTGTTACGAAGATTGGTAAAAGCGCTGGCAGAAGTGCGTAATATCGAATGGAGACTCTTTCAAATAAGTAATATTTTCAAAAAATCAAAATTTTTCATTATCTTTTGAACACACCTCGTAAGTGCATCTCAATTTTCATGGTAATGTGGAAGTTTTACCAAAAATTTACGCAACTCATGAACAATTTTCAAATTTACTCGGAAAGTTTCTCATTTGCACTTGTGGGTGCACAATTGGCACAAATGCAGTGACACGTATAGAAAAAGCAATATGCAAATAAAAGCCAGAAAATCATGAGTTCACAAAGAGATTCACAAATACATAATTATATATTTATATATATGTATATGTGTTTAGAAATAAGTTTCACCGTACAAAAATTAAAAAAAGAACACACATACACAGTCGCCAACATATTGAGGATATAGTCTTCATGTGCGTGTTTCTATATATATATGCGTGTGTGTGTGTGTGACTTAATGATAGCCACACCAGCAAGTGCAACATGCAACGGCAAATGGCAATGACAGCAAATGTACTTTTAACAAGTTTATAAACGCTCTCCAATTGTGGGCCACCAGACTGAATTCCACTGTATTTATGCACATACATACAGACATATATACATACATATATATATGGACATATATTAATAAAATACACATGTATATATATAAACATGCTGTTACATATACTAACACATATGCAAGTTCGTTAGTACATTTAAAGTTTGCCTGAAACTAGGCTGCAGACAGTTATGCATATATTTATTTGTATTTATAAAGTATACGTATGTATGTATATATAGCACATTTACATATGGCCTGGCATATGCATTTTTAAATATGCTTGCTTTAAACATACTCGTTACACACGTGCCTGATAGCTCAAACGTTTCTTCGTCCAAGCTTGCGTGTGTGTGAGTCTCTTTGAAAGTTCAACTGCATTGCTTGTGTGTACTATCTGTTCTGTGTATTCGTAGTGTGTTTGCATTTGTATAATTGATGCATTGCAGTAGTTGAAAATTTCACTTCCTTGCAGTTGTATTTAATTTGTACAGCTTTACAACCATGTGTGGCACAAAGGCTGCCCGCATGGCCATGATTAATGAAAAAATTTCGGTTTTACCAAAAAGCAAAAAGTGAAGTTGCTGCATTTCAATGATGAAAACCAAAGTGTGTTTGTAATTATTAAAACAGTAGTTTGAACTTTTCGTTTCATATATAAACATATATATTTACACATGCACATAGTATGTATATTTTTATGAACTTTAGAAGTACTTGGCAATTTAATTAAAACGTGTTTCCTCGGAAATAAATACATGTACTCTGAAAGTTCTCAATTAATATTAAAAGTTCATATATAATAATATCGAAGTGTTTGAAACATATTATTTATAGTTTCCAAAAACCGAACGCATTTTCCTAACATTTGTAATTGTAAATATTATGAATAGCTGTTTTCGATTCGCCAAGCGTTACAACCCAGCGTATCGAACAAACTATACCAGTTGCTCAAACTAAGAGACAGCAGTTGTGCTGCAACCCTGCGCTAACATATCTTCTGACTCATGCGCAATCGTGTTATCATTCTTCCTAGTGGAGAAATTCCCTATTAATTCTTAAAAATAAAGTAATAATAAAAGGTTAAATTTCCATAAAACTTGATTTATAAGAATTAATTAATTAATATTTAGGTCCAGTAAAAATAATGTCATTATTTGATGGTATGGTATGGTTTGAGCAAGCCTGAAAAGAGAAAATACGCCATATTTTGCAGTTTTTCTCAATCAAGGCGTAAGTGCGCAAGCCATGTAGATGAAAATGCGGATGGTGTTTATGGTCTTAATACTGTGATAGCCAAACAATTTTTATTTCATTGATTCCCTTCCGATAATTTTGATGTCAAGAATAGACCAAGTTCTATAACACCAATCGAAGCTTAACATTGCCTAAAAACCCATTTGGAACAATTTAAATTAAGCTGGCTAAAAAAGAAGCTCGTTGTTTGGCGATGACACCCGAGTTAACGCAAAACAAGCTCATGGATCGAATTGCATTCGCGAATCGCTGCTATGATTACTGGTCATGAAAAGTGGATCACTTTCGACAACGTCAAGCAAAAACAGTCGAATCGCTGTGAACCGGTGCAAATGGTGATCAAGCCAGGATTGACGGTCAGAAAGGTTATGCTATGTTTTTGGGGGTATTGGCAGGTTATCAACTACTATGAGTTGCTCTTCTAAATCGGAGCTGTACTGTCAATAGTTGAACCATTTAAAAGATGCTTCCTTCACCCAGAATCGGCTAGCGTTGACCAATAGAAGTGGAATTGTGTTCCATCAAGCCACACACATCGATAGTGACACAGTTTTGTGTACCTACTTTATAGTCCGGACCTAGCAAAGAGTTTACTACCTGTTCCTCTCTATGGCGAATGATACAGGGTATATTAAGTTTGCCATGAAGTTTGAAATATCCTGAAGGAAACGTCGAAGAGCCTATAAAAAATATATATAAATGATTAGCTCGACACTTAGGTCGTCAGCACTTTGATTTAGCCATGTCCATATGCATGCCCGTCTGCCTGTTTGTATATACGTCTAGTCCCTCATTTTTTTAAATATCGATCTGAAATTTTGCACTCGTCCTTTTCTGTACAAGAAGCTGTTCATTTGTCGGAACGGCCGATATTGCACAACTATAGCATATAGCTGCCATTCAAACTAACCGATCGAAGTTCTTGTAAGTTCTTTTGTATTTGTGAAACGTATTATAGCTCCGGTTCAACCGAAGTTAACGTTTTTTCTTGTTTTTAATTAATTTTGCTGTCATTAAAAGAAATCTCCTTAAAAGTATGCATAGTTAATTTGCTCTCACTCATATAAATTCCAAAACACACTTTCATCAAATAATCTATGCACCTACAATCGTTTCTCAACGCTCATATAATTTTAATTTACGCCATGGGAAATTTTTCGGAAGCTCATTAAATTGTTATGCCACATTTGACCTGATTCCATCCACACAGATACTTACATAATGCTACATAGGTCTGCACGAGTTACTGCTCACCGCCACGGCAGTCTTCGGTTGAATCGTAAATCAAATAGTCTGCTATGTTGGGCTTCACCACACCACACCGCACCGCACCGCCGCACCTCATTTGATTTACCTATTCTGTTTGTTACCACCATTCATTTATACCGTTATGGCCACAGTATGTGCACTCCCTGTCTGTTATTCACCATCCATTGCATATACATCACGTACATATTATGTTTTCATATTATCTTCTCCCCTCTCTAACATTCACCGACCTATTCTAATTTTGTATTTCTACCCTAACCTAACTTTCAACGCTCCCTACAGACTTTTCACTATCCACTTGCTGTGGCTCCTACGTGCATTTGGCGCATGAACTTAGTTGAAATGGCATTATAATGTAGTTAAATTGAATGCAGGACCCAGTCCGGTTGTTATTTGATCAATTGTAATTGTAATTCCATTTCTATGAGCTCGCGTACATGTGGAGGAGTACCGTCGTTTGCCATGTGGGTTATAGGAAATATTTATGTACCACTATACAACAGAGATATTTACGTACGCTCTGTTAACTGTAAATAGCTATGTGTGTCAGTCACTCGCTGTGTAAACATAATTATGTAAGTAACTGTAAACTGGTTTCCAATTACATTTAAAACTAAAAACATCACTATTTGTATTACTTGCTGATTAAATTGTATTCATTTTAAATTTACAAAGAATTATTAGCTTTTATGTAACTGTTTGATATGGTAGAAAGAGGGTCTTAATAAAGAAGTAGCTATTTGTAATTTAATTTAACTATAATTAATTATTTTATTACAAGGCGGAAGTAGATGCGTTCCTAAGGAGATTGTGTGAAAAATTTCACTTTTCTAGAACCATTGCGCAAAAGTATGCTATTTAAATTTTTTCTTTGCCTACATTTCGGCGCGGTGATGTTACGTAATAGTGTAAATTGGTTACTATACTCAACTGACACAAATTTATAACTACATACATCTAACAATAGCTATCTCAAGTTCCAAAACTCTTGTATAAATAATAAATAGCTTTAGATTTTTGGCACGATCTTGAAGCTTGTAGAAAATCTTGAAAACTTATTTCAAAAACTTAAGGATTAAAATATCTTCAGAAAATTAATTTTTATTTGGAATGTGTATAATTAATTTATTTTAATTTTTGTTTCAGGCTCAATAATGGTTCAAATAGTAAAAAAGCTGTTATAAATCAATATTCTGGTAAGTTCGTTAAATATTATATCCGAGTATATCGAATATAGACAAAAAGTATACATTATAATATAACTAAACTTATACTAGAATTAATAAGGACGTAACTTGGGATTCTTTCTGCTCTGTTGTGCGCTCTCGCAACCTATCAGGTAGTACGGTGGCGAGAAAATAGCCAGCAAAGTCAGAGCGAACTACTACCATAATGATTGAGGGCGGCTCAACGTCCGTTCTTGTGTAATCAAAACCTTTTTATGCACAATCTTATCCTCTCCATGGGTATTGTGGGTGTTTCTTGGTGATAATAATCCTTTTTTGTTTTTTGTCGGACTGATTATCGTGAATTTACATTCTCAATGCATGACACTTAACATATGTATGTAACTTAACTCAAATTAACAAAGCGTAAATTAATATGACGCAAAGTAACATAACATGACATGTTAAGTTACGTTAAGTTAACTAAAAATAACGTAACTTGACATGACTTAACGTCACTTGACTTAACATAACGTAACTTAACATGACTCAATCTCACTTTAAGTAACATAACATAACTTAACTTAACGTATTTTAACAAAACGTAGCTTTACTTAACGTAATTTAACATAACGTAACTTATCTTAACGCAAATTAACATGACGTAACGTCACTTTACGTAATGTTTTTCATTTTTTTAAACTCTTCACTTAACCCCACAAGTGCCTAATGTCTTATACATTTTCTGTACTCGGCATAGCTCTGGTTTTTATATTACATTTTCTAAATTAAGCCCACAAATATGGTAAAAACTTGTTATATTTGTCCCGAAAAGCTTAAGTAAACCTGGTGTTTTTCGAATATTCTTATATGCTCGGTGCTTGGCCTACATTTTTCATTTCCGTTCTAGAACGTCACAAATGAGTGCACCTTGTAATTAAAGCCAAAGTTTCAATACGGCCCAGGTATATTCTATATTTTATAAACCACAAACTGTTCTTTGTGCACACTGAGGCTTACTGACCAAATTCCTAACCAACTGTTAGTAATAAGCCACAAGGTACTACAATGCAACAATAGTGCTTTACAAACACACATCACCGTGTATATACCTAACTGTACACATATTTGTTGTAGCAAATTAATTTCGCAAATAGCAAAAGGCAAAGTCAAAACCAAACCAGTGCGGTTAGTAATTTCGGCCATCAAGTGGCCCAAGTGTAATTTAGACGCCCCGCAGTAGAGGAACTACACAGTTCCAATAATGGTGAGGGAATTTCAACACATGGTTTTGTACTTTGACTGGCAATGCAATAACGGGATACTCGGCAATATGTGAGTGCAAGTGTGCGTAGTTCTGTATACATATATGAGTCAAAGAAGCATATTTTCGAGCGCTTAGTTTACAATCTCTCCGTGGCTCCACACTATAGAGGGTAGAAAAGGAATAAATTGCTTTGCTACTCACCGACATTGCCTTCGCCACGTGCCGCTGTATTTATCGATAGCAACAACAGCAATTGCAACATCAACGTGACGCTTGTAGTCGGACGATGCAACCAATTAATTGTTGCTTGCAACGAGCAACGCCAGCTGGTACTTGGCTGTTGTTGTTGCTGCTGTTGCCATTGCATCGCCGACTCTTGTTCCTGCTGCTGCGGCAATTGCTGCCATTCTGCCGTAGCTTGGTGCTGCTCTATTGCTTGCTGCTGCTGTTGTGGTTGCTCTCGCTGAGATTGTTCTTGCTCTTGATGGTCTTCTTGCAGTGATGATGATTGTGCTTGTTGTTGTTGCTCTTGCTGTGGCCTAATACATTGTTGCCTTAATGAGTTGTGCTGTTCGCCTTGCTGCTGTTGCTGTTGTTGTGGTTGTACATTGCATGCCATGATAATGGGCCCACCTACAAAAAAAAGACAAGGCGAAAATGAATTGTTGAAAGAAGTTCTACAGAAGATATGAGTACGAAGGAGGAAAAGTTTCAATTATAAGAGCGTGGTGGCTACAAGTGCGGGAAATATATGTTTTTCCATTAGGTAGGATATAAAAATGAGAGTAATTTACTTTTTTATTGCTCTGTGTTGCAACCCATTGTTATGGCCACTGAGAAGCGACTAAAAATTGCATGACTTTTTCGGCCATTAAACTTTTTAGTGCAAAACTACATATAAAGGTTTGATATTGTAGGTTTACCTACAAATCTAAGAAAAACCACCGTTTTTACTCACTTAAGGTACCCGAAACCAATTTATTTACTGAAAAAGCATACCAGTTTGCTTACATAATATAAAATATGTTTGTCTTAGTATAGTCGTCATTATCAAGTTTTATTGCGAAAATATTCCAATTAATGCAAAATAATTCGAAAGTTAATATGGGTTCTCAACAAAATTTATTTCTTGGATATTAAAACACACATATACCGAATTTCATCCAAATCAATCGAGCCGTTGTCGAGTTCTTTTGGGAGGTTATGCAAATTTCGAGAAATGCAAAATCATTATTTTGATTTTGAGGTTGAGTAAACATAATTGATAACAACAGAAACTCAGTTTGTATCACAAAAATATTTACGAAGAAACTTTTTTTCCTAATGATTAAATTAATTACAGTTTTTTTTTCTAAGTTTCCCTCAAAACGCTAACTGTAAGAAGATAAAACTGAGATCCAATAATGGTTTTCAACTGAATAGCTTAATTGAGCTGTTATTCAAAGAGAGAAAAGCATCTATTTTCAAAAAGTGTTTTATCGAAGTTCTGAGGTCATAGAGTTTTTTACTAAGTTGGAGTCCAATGAAATCCGATTTATTGTTGGTTTGGGTTTCTGATAACTAACCTGGTACATAACAATAGTATCTTAATGTATATCTTTCAGATCCTTGCATTTGGCTCCTATAAGTATAGCTCTAAACTTTCTAGGACAGAAAGAGATTATCTCGTAGAATTCAATACATGAGAGAATACCTAACGAAGTCGGTTGAGCTGGTAGTTGCTTCATTTTTATTTGCTTATTTTTCTGATTTGAACCACGTATGTGTTCGATTCGCCACTTTCCAAGCGTTTGCGAATTGAATACTGCTACTTGAATATCCTTTGTTTGACGTAGATTTTTATCTTAGAGACATATCTGGTTTATCTTTTGTACATTTCTAGACCACATACATATACTCGGGCATATATATAATTTGCCACGCGTCATTGTAATACTCCATTTATTACCATATTTCACAGAGCCATCAGCAACATTATTGGCTATTGTCTGCACATCTTCGTTGCTTTAACACCGTTGCCGGCGATAAATTCTCATTTAACACATTGTTGTTGTTATGATTTAACGGCCCGTTATTTGGCTCAACAATGTAAGTGATATATAGGTATGTGTGTGTGGGCGGTCTTTGTTTGGACAGCCGCTTTCCAGAGTATTCGGCCTTCCTTACAACACTAACACTCGCATATTTACGTTTACAGAGGTTTACAGAGTTCATGGTATGTATGTAGGTGTGTGTGTATTGTAATTTTGCCAACACTCAACTGCTAACCGGAAATATATTGGCGGATGTTGTGATGTTTTCAATGCGTCGCTGTGTCGACAATTTTGTGTGAACAAAAGCAAAGCACAGCAATAACACGCCTACGAACATCGCCAATCGCTTGTTGTTGTTGATATTTGCTCTTGCTTGCACTTCTCCAATGAACTATAAAGCATACGAGTGCTGTCCAAATAGTTTTGCTAAATCGCTTGCCGAACACACACTGAGTTCCATTATTTTGAGATTGCCAAATATACAGTTAGAAAGTATCCAAATAAAGTAAGTTGTTATACTCTTGCAACATGTTGCTACAGCGTATAATAGTTTTGTTCACCTAACGGTTGTTTGTCTCACCTGAAACTAATCGGGATAGATATAGGGTTATATATATGGTATATAAATGAGCAGGATAACGAGGTGAGTTGAAATCCGGATGTCTGTCTGTCCGTCCGTTCGTCCGTCCGCCGAGAGTGGTACGAGATTGCTTTAAAGGAGCCGTTGTCAAAATTGGACGATAGGCATGACAACGCCTACATATAGGTGAAAACTCATGTCTCGGGACCTGCCCGACCGATTTCAACCAAATTCAGTAGGGTACTCGCATTCTGACATTCTTATGTCGCACTGTGAAAATGGACGTTATCGGACTACAACCACTTCTACTTCTCATACAAGTATAACATAATTTTAAAATCCATGTGATTCTTTCACTTCCCAGTGAACAAATTAAGCAACAATTAATGTATTAAAATAAAACTTTGCACGAATATTGATTTTAAAGTGTGCCAGCTTAAGACCCAAAACTATCCAAATCGCACCAAAACTTTTCAAGCCTCGAGGTACCGAATATATGGACTCCAGTTCTTATGGCGATTATTTTATCGAAAATGTCTGTCAATCTGTGAAATATATTATAGAAGCTCAGAGAGAATCTTTATCTAATATTAATATGTCCATCTGCCAAAAATGGGTTGAATCGGATCAATAATGCCCTTAGTCCCCATATACCTAATAGACAGATTTTCGAACTCCCGCAACTTTATATCGCAAATATCGGTCAATATGTGATTTATCTTAATGAAATTTAAAAAGCGTGTTTTTCTTATAACAATGTATTTTTCTGCATAAAATGGGTAAAATCGGGTGAAAACTTGCCATAGCCGCCATATAGCTATAATCTGGATTTTAAAGCATCAAGTTGACGTTATCCGCATATTTTGGAGATGATATGTGAAGTACCTTAATGAAACTCAGAGATCATCTTTTTCTGTGGTAATGGCAAAAATGGATAAGAGCGGTTCAATACTATCCCTATCTCTCATATACCAAATACCATATGTCAATATGTAACATATCTTAACAAAAGTAACAGAACGGATAATATTGGACATGCTATACAAGTAGCTTAATGTCAAAAATATGTGATATTGGTCTTAGAATTACCCTAACCCTCATATACTACGTATATTCCTATCCTATACTATATAAATATAAATGATCACCATGACGAGCTGAGCTGATTTAGCCAAGTCGGTTTGACCGTCTGTACGCGAACTAATCCCTCAGCCGCATGAATTTTGTACACGTTCTTTTCTCCTCAAGAAGATGCTCATGTTTCAAAACGATCCATATCGAACCACTATAGCATATAGCTGCCATACAAACTGAACGATCGGAATCAAGTGCTTGTATGGACAACTTTTTCATTTGGAAAGATATCTTCACCAAACTTAGCATGGGTTATGGTCCAAGACAAGACAATACAAGCTGCGAAAAAATTCCTTAGATTGGATCACTATAGCATATACAGTGTCGGATAAAACTAAAGCACGAAGTACACCTTGCCACATTTAGTTAAAAACAAAATGTAAAAGGTTTGCCAAACTTTTAAATTTTTTAGGAATATAATAGGATTATATGTTTAAACAAAAATTTATCAAGATTAACCTCTTTTTATTACAAATAAGATTTTGACACACAAAAATTTCGCATAATATGTATATTTGCTGCGACAAAACTAAAGCACTAGACTATAATTACTTATTCATTGACATTAATTTCAACAAGTCCCGTTAAAATTCCATCTGTAGTTATAAACCGTTATTTGAAGGGTGTGTTGAAGTAATTTTAATACAATTAGATTAGTCATTTGTGATTAACCGATGGTGTTGCTTCGTAATAAAAATAATAATTGTGAAATGTTGCGTAATAAGTATTCAGCACTATTTAGGGAAAAAATTACTAGCGATTTTGAAAACGACGAATCAATAATTTCGAAAAAGTTCACAATTAATCACAGTATTGTCTCAAGAATTATAAGTCGTTTTCGTTCTTCGGCCTCCCTAAGCCCAATTCATGGAGGTGGCAGACCACGTAAAACTACTAGGCGTGAGGATATGATAGTAGTGTGCTGCATAAACAGGTATCCCTTTATATCAGCTGGATCAATCCAGAGCGAATTGGGCTTGAATATTTCGTGAAGGTCCATCCAGAGACGATCTGTAGAAAATAACTTCATAACATGCAGAAGTGCCATGCATTTCGCACAAAAATCGAAAAGCACATCTTGAATTTGCAAAAGCTCACACTAACTGGAGTATTAGAAAATGGGGGAGTGTACTTATCTCTGATCAATCCAAGTAATAGTCTGGCGATGTTTCTCAGGTCATGGAGTAGGTCAGATCCATCAAATTAATGGCATCATGGATCAAAACATAATTTTATAACAGTAAATAAATTATATGCAGCTAAATGGTAATATGGTAAATTTCGTGCTTTAGTTTTGTCTGACACTGTAGCTGCCATACAAACTGACCGATCAAAATCGTGTAAGGAGTCTTTTGTATTTGTGAAGGGTATTATAACTTCGACGAAACCGAAGTTGACGGGTTTTCTTGTTTAATATGTCTTTCTGAAAATTTTATACAAAATCCACAAATGTCATACTTTTAATGTCTTTAAAAAGTGTCGTCACAAAAAAATATGCGAGATTACACACGCCCACCCCCGTAATTTAATTTCTAATAATAACACTAGAATGCATTTCACACGATACATTTGAAGAACAAAATCGTAATATTAAAAAACTAGAATTCCTTATGCTTTAGAAATGTAAATAAATATCTTTCGCCGCTTTTATTCAATACCGTTATATCGCAACACCCAAACCAAGCGAATTGTTTCATTAAACTGAATTGTGACTTTCTATTGAGATGATAGATCAGTGAAAAATCGCAGCAATGCAGTTATGACGTAGATACTAAGCAAAATAAAATTATATTAATTAAAACTCAATCAAATAAAAATGTTCCAAGTAATCACGCACACTCACACATGCAAACATATATTTTAAACAGATAACAAAATATTTAGCT